TCGCGCTGCCGAGATACGGCCAACGCCCATTTTCCTTTCTCTGGCAGGTCCAGGCCTCCCGGTCGGCTTCTGGGTCCCGGGTCTCCACTCCGCATGGTCGTCACTGGGGGGGTCCCTCGCCTCCCTTGGCTCGACCGACTCCTCCTGCAGGCTGTCTGGTGCCCTCCCTCTCCACGGGAGGGCGGCCGCGGCCAGTCTCTGCCTTCCAGCGCTCTTCTGCGGCCTCGGGCGCGCATCCTCTCTCCTCCCCCTTCCTCCCACCCCCCAACGACACGGGTCACAGGAAAGATTCCCGATCTGGCAAGAGAGCCCGGAGTCGTGGGCAGGGCTCTCACACCGTCGCTTTGTGCATTCTGCACGCTGGCCTGGCCCCTCCCTCTGGCACGCCGCATCTCGCACGTCTCGGTGCCCGGGTGGCATTCCGATTTGAAGAGCCCCGTTCACTCAGGCATTCTTGGGCCGTCCCTCCGGAGGACTAGACCCCCAAGGCTGATGTGGACCTGTGTGCACGTCTCCCATCAGGCGGTGCCACAGGCCTGCCTTGCGCCCTGCCGTGGCTCCGCGAGGCCCTGGCTCCGTGCTCCCGCCCGGGGCTTTCCAGATGTCTGTGGTGGCTGCCCGAGAGCCTTTAAGAATGAGGGCGCCTGGCCGGGCCGGGTGGCTCAGCCGGTAATCCCAGCCCTTTGGGAGGCCGAGGCGAGTGGATTTTCTGGGCCCGCGTGTTCGAGACCCGCCCGGGCAACTTGGTGAGACCTTGTCTCTACTATAAATAAAAAATTAGCCGGGCGTGGTGGCGCGCCCCGGTAGTTCCGGCTACTTGGAAGGCTGAGGCGGAAGGATCGCCGGAGCCCAGCAGGTGGACGCTGGGGCGGCCGTCAGCATGCCGCTGTGCTCCAGCCTGGGCCACAGGGGGAGACTCCAACTGGAAAAAAAAAAGCGAGTGCACTTGAGTGATGTGACCTCTCCGCCTCTGACCCCACGGCAGATCGGGGCACCAGGGGCGGTTCCACAGGGGGCTCAGAAGCACTCCCGAGGAAGACCCATCTCCAGGGGTCATGAGCATGCACTTTGCTGGACAATTCCCCGGAACAGGAGGGCTTTCACCAGCCTCCTTCACAGCGAGGCCTTCCTTGGCCCCCAGTGAGAAATACAAGCTCCCAGTTCCAGGGGAATAACCGGCATGGGAGACTCCAAACGGTGGGAGGAGGGCGAGGGGTGAAATACCAGGTGTCAGGCACAGTGTCCACATTTTGGGCAATGGGTACAATAAAAACCCAGACTTCCCCACTATGCAACATATCCATGTAAGAAACCTGCACTGTACCCCTAAATCTATGAAAAAGAAAAACTAAAATAAAACTGTCTTCAAGGTTTCAGTTCTTTTTCTCTGTCTTTTTTCTTTCTTTCTTTCTTTCTTTTTTTTTTTTTTGAGTCAGAGTCTCACTCTATGGCCCAGGCTGGAGTGCAGTGGCATGCTCACAGCTCCCGCAACCTCGACCTGCTAGGCTCAGGCAATCCTTCTGCCTCATCCTCCTGAGTAGTTGAAAATACAGGCACGCACCACCCACTTGGCTAATTTTTTGTAGAGAGAAGTCTTGCCAAATTGCCCAAGCTGGTCTCAAAGCCCTGGACTCAGGCAATCCTCTCACCTCTTCCTCACAAAGTGCTGGGATTACAGGTGTGAGTCACTGCGCCCAGCCTCTCTGCCTTTCTTTATCCTTCTCTCTTTATGTTGGCATACTAAACATCTTATATATGTTTACTGTCTTTCTTGCCACAAATTGCAAGTTCCAAGAGTGACTTTTGACTCTAAGCTTCACAACTGCATTTTTAAAGAACAGTGCCTGGTACTTGGTAGGCATTCAATAAATGCTTGTTGACAAATAAACACCATGGGGACGGGGAGGGAAGTATACTGCTACAAATGAGTGTACTCTTTGATAGAAAGAGATATTAGGGTAGCTGGGCATGGTGATGCGTGTCTGTGTTTTCAGCTACTTGGAAGGCTGAGATGGAGGGATTGCCTGAGCCCAGCAGGTTGAGGCTGCAGTGGCCATGAGCGTGCCACTGAAAGCCAGCCTGGGTGACAGAGAGTGAGACTCCAACTCAGAGAGAGAGAGAGAGAAATATATTAGGGGCTGGGCACAGTAGCTCATGCCTGTAATCCAAGCCCTCTGGGAAGCTGAGGTGGGAAGATTGTTTGAACCCAGGAGTTTTTAGATCAGCCTGGACACCATAGTAAGAACCCTGTCTCTACCAAAAATTTAAAAATTAGCAGGGTATGGTGGTGCACACCTGTAGTCCCAGCTACTTGGGAGGCTGAGGCAGAAGGATCATCTGAGCCCAGGAGGTCAAGGCTGCAGTGAGCTGTGTGTGCCACTACACTACAGCCTGGGATACAGAGTGAGACTGACTCAAAAAAAGAGAAAGAGAGAGGGAGAGAGAGAAATTAGGAAGGAGTAGAGACATTAAAGATACTCTATCACCAAGCTGAGACTTTTTTTCCTTGGCTTAATTAGGATTGAAGAAACTGAAAAGAAAATAACTCTGTTACTCTATGACGCCATGATATTTAAAGCAGTGTCTGACACTCACTAATCATCTCTACCTGGCCAGTGGCACTTCTGTGACATTTATCTGGAGCAACCCTCTGAGGTTCCGAAAAGGAGGGTAACTTGCCCAGAGACACACTGCTGGTGAGCCTCCGTGGGCCCTGGATTCCCCATCCCGTCTCCAAGGCAGGGAAGGCCTCATATGCTGTCTCCTTCATCTGTTTCCAGGACTAAAAAGATCCTGCAGGGGTTGAGGGGAGAGGTGGGCTCAGTCCATTTCCTGGGGAGCAGCCAGAGGCAGCTCGGAAGCCTGGACGGGCTCCCAAGACCAGGGGCAAAGCCGGGTCTAAAGGGAAGGGGAGTTGAGGGCCCAGGAGGGAAGCGGGAGCGCCAAGGGCCAAGCCCAAGAGGTGTCCCTGCCCTGCCATCAGTGCCACAGTTACAGAGGAGCCTCTGTGGCTTGGAGGCCCTGAGGAGGGCGCTGAAAGCTAAGTCAGAACAGGCAAGCGGGCAATGCTTCCAGTCTGGAAAGAGGGCGGATTGGAGTCTGAACGACTGGAAGGGACCTTAGAGACCATGTAGTCTAGCGGTTCTTGAACTGAGTCCCTGGACCACTATCAGCAGCATTGCTTGGAAACTTCTTAGAAATGCAAACTATCAGCCGGGCTCAGTGCCTCAGCCTGTAATCCCAACACTTTGGGAGGCCAAGGCGAGTGGATGGCCTCAGCCCACGGGTTCGAGACCAGCCTGGACAACTTGGCAAGACCTTGTCTTTACAATAAATAAAAAAAAATTCGCCGGGAGTGGTAGCGCGCTCCTGTAGTTCTGGTTACTTGGAAAGCGGAGGCAGAAGGATCGCCAGAGCCTAGCAGGTCGATGCTGGGCTGGCTGTAAGTGTGCCACTGCACTCCAGCCTGGGTGATGGAGTGAGGCTCCAACTTAAAAAAAAAAGAAAGAAATGCTATCCAGCCCCACCCAAATGAATGAATGAAAAGCTCTGGGTGAGGGACCCAGAGATGTGTTTACACAAGCCCTGGAGGCAAGCTTGATACACACTCAAGTTTAGAAACCACTGCTCTAGTTCAACCCCTGTTGTCTAATGGGGAAACGGAGGCCCAGAGAAGGAAAAGGGCTTGCCTAAAGTCACAAAGCAAGTTGACACTACACAACTCATCCATGTGGCAGGAAGTCATACCTGGAATGCTCCCCATCCTGTTTTCATTCTTGGGAGAGATGCTATCGATGGCAAAGGCACAGGGCCCTTTGCGGAGAGACCTTGGGCAGGCCTCTTCTTTCTGCTCTGGGCCTCAGTTTCTGCATCTGACAGTGAAGGGTTGGAGTGGATAATCTCAGTGTATAACACAATCTGCAGTGGATCGCACTATTCCTGTTGTCACTGTCTAGCATGGGACAAGAGGGCACAGGTTCTGGGTCTAGACAGCCTGGTTTGAGCCCAGCCCTGCCCGTGTACGATGCAGACTCCGGCTCAACTTCCTCGAGCCCCCGTTCCTTTCCCTGTATCTATTCTAGAAGGATCAAGTCATGGACAGAAAGCTCTTAGCGCATGCCTGGCACACAGGAAGCACTTGGCAGAGAGGTTGCCGCCAGGACCTTCCACGGGGGCTCATCTGAGGACTCACTCACCTTCCCCAAGTCACTGAGTCCCCGCCTCTCCTCAGGCGTGAGCCCAAGTCCCCAGTGAGACGCAGCCCGGTTGCAAACCATCACCTATGATTCGAAGCATTTCTGCCCTTGACATTTTTTTTTTTTTTTTTTTTGAGTCAAGGTCTCACTCTCTCTCCCAGGCTGGAGTGAAGTGGCACGATCACAGCTCACCACAGCCTCTACCTTCTGGGCTCCGGTGGTCCTTCCTCCTCAGCCTCCTGAGTAGCTGGGACTACAGGTGCCTGCTATCATGCCTGGCTATTTTTTAAAAATATTTTTTATGTAGAGATGAGGTCTCACTCTGTTGCCTAGGCTGGTCTTGAACTCCTGGGCTCAGGCAGTTCTCCCACCTTGACCTCCCAAAGTGCTGGGATTACAGGCATGAGCCACCCACCCAGCTCTGTAACTTTCAATTCAGTTGCATAGCCTAATGAAATCATGGGTCGTTTTTCTCCATCCACAGCTCCTCCCAGTCGTCAGTCTCTGGGTCCTGCATCTGTTTCAGCCACTCCAAGGGATGACGGCTTGATAATGGTTGCCTCACCCCCAGGACTCTGCCAGAGTGTATTCTGGGTATATAATTCAGCTTGTCCCAATGTGTTCTCAAGATATGACGACACTCTGTGTATGTGATGCATGAAAGAGCAAGAGACAAAAATATAATCCAGTCTGTCCCAGCTGCCTCCTCCCCTTTTTCCTCCTTCTCTGTGTCCCCTCTGACCGGCCACCAGGTCAGCTCCGTGGCCACACTCACCTGCCACAGCTCTCTTCCTCCCACAGGTGACCACCATGCTCCCGTGGGTGCTCCTGGCCTGTGCCCTCCCCTGTGCTGCAGACCCGCTGCTTGGTGCCTTCGCTCGCAGAGACTTCAAGAAAGGCTCCCCACAACTTGTCTGCAGCCTTCCTGGCCCCCAGGGACCCCCTGGGCCCCCAGGAGCCCCAGGGCCCTCAGGAATGGTGGGACGAATGGGCTTCCCCGGCAAAGATGGCCAGGATGGCCAGGATGGGGACCGGGGGGGCAGTGGAGAGGAAGGTAAGAGGCCTGGTGCTTGCCCCTCCTGCTGCCACCTACCTGGGGCTGGCGTCACCTGGAATGGAGGGAGTCACAAAGTAACTAGAACTAGTATGCATCTCTTTCCCTATAAATCAGATTGAGGTTTCCTTCTCAACAGAGTGTTCTGAAGGGATGGGGGTGCTCCGTCTTGTGTTCCTACCCCAGTTACACCTGTGGTTTGCTAAGTGACTCTGGGCAAATTTCCTAAGATATTATTCAGAACTCATGATTGCAAGTGACAGAAGCCCAATTTACAGCCCCGAATGGAATGTATTGGTACATAAAATCAGGAAGTCCAAAAGCCAAGCTTCACAAATGTCTGGGTCCAGGAGCTCAAACATCACTGGCAGGGTTCCGCTTCTCTCTGTGTGTTGGTTTCCTCCTCACCAAGACTGGAAGTTCTGAAGGGGAAACTAGGGGGGCTCAAGCCTACGTCCTCACGGCTTGATCCACAGAGCAGTTCTCAGGATCAAGGTTCTCCTCGGCCCCGATGTATCCTGGACCCACCCCTTCCATCACAGAGGTGAGGTACCACCATTTTCCAGGACCGGGTCACGTGCCCACCCTTGCGTGTGTGAGTGGATGGTGAGGGCAATTGGTCACTGTGATTGACAGCCCCCTGGGACCACAAGAAATGTGAAAAGCAGTTGCCCAAATAGGGATGCCAGGCAGACAGCAGACGCACTGGATGCTCGCTGTAGACCTGCTTGACATCCCTCATAGCTCCCATCTGTCATCGCAGCAACCGAGTGCTGGCCAGCGTCAGCAGAATCCCCAAGCATGTGTTTTAAGCAGCAGGGAAATGTAGTAATGCCTATTGGTATGACATTTTGACACGGACAAGTCCTTCGAGTATGCTACTCATCTGACCATGATACCCTGTGAAGGAGGTCTTCTTGCTACCCCCTCTTACAGATGAGGAAGCTGACAGTCAGAGTGACGAAACTGAGAACAGAAGGTCGTAGCTGCAAGAACTCCACTTGCAAACAAACCTGGATGCTAATTTTGGCACTCTGCTTAATCTCTCTTCAAACCTCAGTTTCCTCATCTCTAAAACAGGATAATAGGCCAGGTATGGTGGTTCACGCCTATAACCCCGGCACTTTGGGAGGCTGAGGCAGGAGGATCGCTTGAAACCAGGAGTTCAAGACCAGACTGGGCAATGTACAACATCTCGTCTCCACACACACACACACACACACACACACACAAATTCAAAAATGAGCTGGGCATGGTGGCACATGCCTGTGGTCCTGGCTACTCGGGAGGCTGAGGCGGAAGGATTGCTACTGCATTCCAGCCAGGGTGATAGAGCGAGACCCAGACTCAAATAAATAAATAAATAAACAGATAAATAAATAAAACAGGGATGATAATAGCACCTAGCTCACAAGGTTGTGGTAAAGATGAAATAAAGAGCTGGACGCGGTGGTTCAAGCCTGTAATCCCAGCAATTTGGGACGCCGAGACGAGAGGATTGCCTAAGCCCAGGGGTTCAAGACCATCCTGGGCAACTTGGTGAGACCTCATCTCTACAATAAATCAAAAAATTAGCTGAGTGTGGGTGGTGCACACCTGTAGTTCCAGCTACTTGAAAGACTGAGGTAGAAGGATCGCCTGAGCCCGCAGGTCGAGGCTGCGGCAGCTGTGAGCGTGTCACTGCACTCCAGCCTGGGCAACAGATTGAGACTCAAAAAAGAAAAAGATGAAACAAAATAGCGTGTGAAGCACCAGCCCCGGGGTGGATGCACAGGACCCATGAGTCACTCCCTAATCGACTTGATGAGCTCCCATCACAGGCTGATAGCCGGAACTCCAAGTCAGGCCTTTTCCTACCATAGTCCCTCCAGAGTGCGCCCTTTCCCAGAGGAATAACTGTGAGAGTAATGGTGCTGGCTTTGACTGGAGGAGGTCGGACAGTGTGCCGGAACTGATGTGGTGGCATCCGATCCCTTTACTAATTGGATTCTGGCCTGGGCCAGCAGGAACCTCCTCTGAGATTGGCTTTCTGGATCTCACGGGAAGGTCTCTGTGTTGACATTCGCTGTTCACAGAGAGCTGTGGTTACTGACTCAGGGCTGCTTCCGGCCATCTTTCCTGCCATGTTGAGTCTGCTGGGTATTAAGCCCCCACGCCAAGGCAGGCAGCAGTGAGGGATGGAAAGTCCTGGCACATGTCACCCAGATGAAGCCGGGTCATCCTGGGACCAGTACAAGACAACATCCGGCTGGCCTCCCACCACCACACACACAAGTCCATCTCCAGAGAGGTCTCGAAAAGTAAAGTCGGGCCAGGCATGGCAGCTCGTGCCTATAATTCCAGCACTTTGGGAGGCCAAGGAGGGAGGATTGTTTGAGGCCAGGAGTTCAAGACCAGCCTGGACAACACAGCAAGGCCCTGTCTCTACAAAAAATAAAAATAATAAATTAGCTGGTTGTGGTGGTGTGCACCTATAGTCCCTGCTACTCAGGAGGCTGAGGTGGGAGGTTTGAGCCCAGGAGGTCAAGGCTACAATGAGTTATGATCTCACCCTTGTACTCTAGCCTGGGCAACAAAACAAGACCCTGTCTCTAAAACAAAGAAAAGAAAAGTCCGCTCTTCCTGAATTCTCTCAGAAAGGTGACCAGAAAGGAAGCACATTATATAATAATGGTGGAACGTCCTGGGAAACCTCCTGCTCGGTTTGTCTTCCCCAAAAAAACTAATTCAAAATGTTTCTGATTCTCCTCCTCCTCTTCTCTCGACCCCTTCTCCTATTTTTGTTTATTTTCATATTTTCAAGAAACAGTTTTGTGATCTTTCTTAGTTTTATCTTTTGCCCATTCTCTTTATTCACTTTTAGTAACACAAGTAAAGATACAAGCACAATCTCATAGTATATCCAAACACTACAAATACAGTCCTTCCTAATTCGCACCCTTCTAACCCACCCGTCCCCCTCCAGAGGTGGCCACTGAACTGGTCAGGCATGTCTCCTTCTGGCCTTCCTCTGTGTATATACATATGTGTATGATAATACCAGACATCACCAGGCGCTTGACATAAGCGATCTGCTTCTGAAAATTAGATGTTCAGTGAGAAAATGCAATTTGAAAACCTTTTCAAATTATGTAGAATTAGGAAAAATTTAAATGCATTACAGCTTAACCCCAAACTCTGAAATGCAGCGAAATGCCTACAGAGATACATAAAAGAAACAAAGTACCTTGTTATGATGTAAAATGCCTAAAACAATACTTCCTTGATCACCAAGTCATATGGTTGTAAACAACACTTGCCTTGTGTCAACTCAAATCATTATCCGAATATGTTTTGTTTAAAAGGTATTGATGGCTGGGTGCAGTCGCTCAATACTTTGAGAAGTGGGAGAAATGAAGGGTGCAGTATGGAGAAGTGCTTGAGGCCAGGAGTTCAAGACCAGCCTGGGCAACATGGGAAAAAAAAAAAAAAAAAAAAAAAAAAAAAAATTGTATTGAGTTGAAGTGACATAAACTCAATGTTTTCCATATAATCAATGGCCAAAAACATAGTATTCAGAGAAATGTACATTCCTGAGGGAAATGTTCTGCCAGAAATATCAGCTAGCATTTAGCGAGAGTTTCCTATAGGCACTCTGCTATACACTTAAATGGGCATGGAAGTATTTAGCACTGTGGATTCTTTTTAACATAAAAGCTTCACTACCTGCTCTTTCCTCGTAGTAGTGTATTTTAGAGAAGGTTTCATACAGTGCAAGTAAATCTACCTCATTTTTTTTTTTTTTGAGTTGGAGTCTCACTCCGTCGCCCAGACTGGAGTGCAGTGGCCACTCCCGGCCACCGCAGCCTCGACCTGCTGGGCTCCGGCGATCCTTCCACCTCAGCCTTCCAAGTAGCTGGAACTACAGGCACGTGCCTACCTCATTTTTTAAACTTCTGCAAAAAATTCCACAGTATGAGGCTGGGCTCGGTGGCTCAGTCTGTAACCCCAGCACTTTGGGAGGCCAAGGTAAGTGGATTGCCTGAGCCTGCCAGTTCGAGACCAGCCCAGGCAACTTGATGAGACCTCATCTCTACAATAAATAAAAAATTAGCTGGATGTGATATCACGCCTATAGTTCCAGCTACTTGGAAGGCTCAGGCAGAAGGATCACCGAAGCCCAGCAAGTCAACACTGGGGTGGCCGTGAGTGTGCCACTGCCCTCCAGCTTGGGTGACGGAGTAAGACTCCAACTCAAAACAAACAAACAAAAAAACAACACAGTATGGACAGACCATAGCTTTGTGATCATTCCCTTTGGATGGGCATTTGGTTGTTCCCATTTTTTGTCATGATAAGCAACCCTGGAATAAAAGCCTCGCACATGTGGGCAGGGCTCTTGCGCACTAGGCAGAGATTTTACTAAGATCAATGTTTTGAAATTGAGAAGCTTCTTCCAGTTCTCTTCTCAACCCATTAGCAGCACAGCCCATGGAAGGACTAATCAGGCAGACAAACCAGACCCTTCCTTGGAACACAAGACGAGGAGGCCGAGTACGGTGGCTCAGGCCTGTAATCCCTGCACTTTGGGAGGCCAGGACAAGAGGATTGCTTGAGCGCAGGAATTTGAGACCAACCTAGACAACGTAGTGAGATGTCTCCACACAAAATCCAAAAAATTAGCTGGGCGAGGTCATGTGCTTCCGTAGTCCCAGCTACTTGGGAAGCTGAATCGGAAGGGTCCCCTAGGCCCAAGAGGTTGAGTTTGCAGTAAGCCATGATTGTGCCATTGCACTTTAGCCTGGGTAACAGAGTGAGACTCTGACAAAAAAAAAGAAAGAAAGGAAAAGGAAAGGGTGTGAGCTGTTACAAATTATTCTTTGTCCTGATCCACAGTGATTCTGGAAGTCATTACAGCCATTTGCCACACAATCACGATTAGGACTTACACCCATTTCTCTGTGTCCCCAAAGCCTGGCTCTTTCCATTACCCAAGGCCTCCCGCCCCCGGAATGGAAAGCCAAGACCCATACCTCATTCTAGGCTGATGACAGCCCCTCCCTAACACCCACTGCTCTGTCTTCCAGGTCCCCCTGGCCGGACAGGTAACAGGGGAAAGCCAGGACCCAAGGGCAAAGCCGGGGCCATCGGGCGGGCTGGCCCTCGTGGCCCCAAGGGGGTCAGCGGCACTCCTGGAAAGCACGGCTCGCCAGGCAAGAAGGGGCCCAAGGGCAAGAAGGGGGAACCGGGCCTCCCGGGCCCCTGCAGCTGTGGCAGTGGCCACGCCAAGTCGGCCTTCTCGGTGGCGGTGACCAAGAGCTACCCGCGGGAGCGGCTGCCCATCAAGTTCGACAAGATCCTGATGAATGAGGGCGGCCACTATAACGCGTCCAGTGGCAAGTTTGTCTGCGGTGTGCCAGGGATCTACTACTTCACCTACGACATCACGCTGGCCAACAAGCACCTGGCCATCGGCCTGGTGCACAATGGCCAGTACCGTATCCGGACCTTCGATGCCAACACGGGGAACCACGACGTGGCATCGGGCTCCACCATCCTGGCCCTCAAGCAGGGCGACGAGGTCTGGCTGCAGATCTTCTACTCAGAGCAGAATGGGCTTTTCTATGACCCGTACTGGACCGACAGCCTCTTCACAGGCTTCCTCATCTATGCCGACCGGGACGACCCCAACGAGGTGTAGACAGGCCGGCACTGGGCCCCGGGCAGGGAACAAGCTTCTAGACTTGGGCTTATGGAGCAAGATCCCAAAACTGTAGGCTGGGGACTGGGGATCCAAGGAGCTTCTAGCCTCAGGCCGACATCCTCTGCCTCTTTTTTTACTTTGTCATTAAATTCAAGCTTTTTTATTCACCCATTCATCTATTCATTCACTATTACTCGTGTCTACTGTGTCACAGGCGCTGTGCTATGCTCTGGAAGATATACAGTGGACCAGACGGAGTGTCCTCATGGGGATTGCATTCTAGTAGGGGATGCAATTTACAAACAAGCAAGCAAATAGCATAGGGTTATGAGCCAGGATGGACATGAAGAGGAATAATTAATAGGAATAACAGGAGACAGGGAAGGATTTTGTTTAGATTTTGCCTTTCTAGGTTTACTTACATGCAGCAAGTCTACAACTTTTCAGTGGACAGCTCAGTGAATTTTTATTTATGTGCACACTTTGAAACTTCCATGCAGATCAAGAGCAAGTCATTTCCAGCCTCCCAGGCCCTTCCGCAAAGGCTCTCTTAGACCCCCTCCAAGTCAGTACCCGGAAGAGGTTCGTTTTTAATTTTTAAAGCATTTTTAAATTTTAGAGTTGGGAGGTATATGTGAGGTTTTAAGCTGAGCTCGGAAACAGGAGATGCCTGGGGGAAGAGGTCTCCTAGCAAAAGGCGCTGCAGGTGCAAAGGCCCTGACACAGGAAAGAGCTTGACCAGAGGGAGAGCCAAGGTGAGAACCAGGAAAGGAGACCTGAGGCAGGAGGCCAGGAGACAGCACAGAGAGGCCCGGCAGAGAGTTCATCCCACTCAAGAAAGCCGATCAGAATGCTGGAGTGGCTTTGACATGGGGGATGGTCTGGACTTCATCCTGGACACTAGGTCAGTACACGGTCAGTCACACACCTGAGCGCTTTGCTGTGAGTTAGAAATCACTCGCAGGGCTGCTGCTCAGTGGACAGGACACACCAGAGTGTCTGCTGCTCCAGACGGCAGAAGTGGGTCCCATACAAATAAATCTCACCCTGGACCCAAGGGTTTCCAGGGTGCAGGGATGTCAGGGTCCACAAGTCAACTGCTGGAGCCACAGCTCCCAGCAGCCTGGGCTGACTGACCCCCTAGTGGAGTCCTCAGGGACAGGGAACACTGCACAGGTGGTCCACAGGGAGCAGCCCCCTCCATAAATAAGATGGGGTTTATCTACAATAACTCCATTCTCAGCCAGGCGTGGGAGCTCATGCCTGTAATCCCAGCACTTAGGGAGACCAAAGAGGGAGAATTACTTGAGTCTAGGAGTTCCAGATCAACCTGGCCAAAATAGTGAGATCTCATCTCTACAAAAAATTTAAAAAAAATTAGCTGGGTGTGGTGGTGTGCGCCTGTAGCTCCAGCTACTCAGAAGGCTGAAGCAGAAGGATCACCTGGGCCCAGGAGGTTGAGGCTGTGGTGATCATGCCACTGCACTCCAGCCTGAATGACAGAGTGAGACTCAGACTAAAAAAAATTGGTAAAATAAAATAACTCCATTCTCACTGAGCCACAATGGCATGGGATTGGGATGGGTCTGAAAAAAGCCAGAAAGGGCTTTGTAGCCCAAGTGGATCAGTGTGTGGGTTGGGATCTCAAGAGGTGCTCCTTAGAAAGGGGCCAGCTTCTGAGCTTGACAGGCACCTTTATCAGTGAACTGTTCCTTTTCCTTATTTATTTATTTGTTTGTTTATTTATTATGTCAGATTCTCACTCTGCTGCCTAGGCTGAAGTGCAGTGGTACACTCACGGCCACAACCACCTTGACCTGCTGGGCTCAGGCAATCCTTCCACCTCAACCTTCCAAGTAACCTGGACTACAAGAGTGTACCACCACACCTGGTTAATTTTTTTTTTCTTAATAGAGACAAGGTCTCACTATGTTGCCCAGGCTGGTCTCAAACTCCTGGGCTCAGGGAATTCTCCCACCTCCTCCACCCAAAGTGCTAGGATTACAGACATGAACCACTGTGCCCAGCCTTTTTTTTTTCTTTAAAAAAAAAATCTGGCTGGGCTGGGTGGCTCAGCCTGTAATCCCAGCACTTTGGGAAGCTGAGGCAAGTGGATTTCCTGAGCGTACAGGTTCAAGACCAGGGCAACTTGGCAAGACCTCATCTCTACAAGAAATAAAAAATTAGTCAGGCATGGTGGCGTGTGTAGCTCCGGCTACTTGGAAAGCTGAGGTGAAAGAATCACTGGAGCCCAGCAGGTCAACAGTGGGGTGGCCGTGAGTGTGCCACTGCACACCAGCCTGGGCAACAGAGTGAGACTCCAACTCAAAAAATAAAAAAAAAAATTTTTTTAAGAGTGCCTTTGGTCACTTCTTTCCCCCAAGGATGCAGGCATTTGAAGGCAGCCAACTCAACCCTCTGTGACCTGGGTCATATATTCAGCCAGAGCAAGAAGACAGCTCCATGGTTGCCACTCTGGGCCTCACTTGAGCACCTGTCCTCTTGGCACCTACCAAGACCTCTCAGGGCAGCTGTGGGAATGAGTGGGGAGACTTGAGGGCAGAAGGAGGCAGAGCCTTCCAGGCCCAAGTCTAGGGTGGTCTTCTTTGGATGTGGTCTAGCGAGATGGTGGACTTGTGGCAGGCAGGGCAGATGCAGGTGACACAGTTAAGGGGTGCTCTGAGAGCCAGCAATGGTAAGGAAGCATGCGCGTGTACCCTCTTCTGCCTCCTTGGTGAGCCACCTGGAGGCACCCCAGATGGGAAGGTGTGCCCCTCCCAGATGCACAGACCCAGCCCCCTGCCAGCTCTGCTTGGTCACTCTGAGCCTCAGCAACCAGGCCTGGCTCTAGGTCTTCACATGTAAAGGCATGGCAGAGCCCTCACATCTTTGTGCAGTAAAAAGGCCTTTTCTCATTCAGGACACAGTTTGAAGGCAGTCAGCTGAGTGTGGTGGCTCACGCCAGCAGTCCCAGCATTTTGGGAGGCTGAAGTCGAGGGTCTCTTGAGTCTAGGCGCTTGAAACCAGTCTGGGCAACATGGTGAGACCTCATCTCTACATAAAGTTAGCCGGATTGGTGGTGTGTGCCTGTAGTCCCAGCTACTCGGGAGGGTGAGGTGGAAGGATCACCTGAGCCCAGGAGGTCAAGATTGTGGTGAGCTGTGATGGTGCCACTGCCTTCCAGTCTGGGCAACAGAGTGAGATTCTGTCTCAAAAAAAAGACAGAAGGAAGGGGGGGAAGGAGGGGGG